TTTTTGTGTTGTGTTGTTTGGGGGGGTGGTGTGTGTGGTAGGGGGGGGTCACTTTGGAGCTGTAGACAGTTTATTCTGGAGTCTGATGGTGATTGGATTTAAATTATAATGTGAATGATCACACAAAAATATCAGATCTGAGCAAAAAAATTGGAATTGAGCATTAAAAGGGATCTCCGACTCTAAATGATCCAACGTGATTATGATTTATATTAGCTCCGGAGCTAATGCTCTGATGCTAATGCTATGAATATATGGTATATTAGCTCTAGAGCTTACGTCATTAGCTCTGGCACTAATACCATACAGTATATATTAGCTTCAAAAGCAATGCTATTAGCTCTGACGTTAAGGCTACAAATATACTGTATATTAGCTCTAAAGCAATTGTTATCTATATTAGCTATTAGGTCTGGAACTAATGTCTGATATACATGTATTAGCTCTGGATTGAATGCAGTTAGCTCTAGGGCTTATTAGTTCTATCCCTAATGCTATTAGCTCTAGAGTTAACATCATATACATTAGCACTGGAGCTAACACGAAAGCAGAGTCATTTTTCCTGTCTCCTCTCGGACACTGTGCTCTGGTTCAAATTAAATGGCTAAGTGTCAGATAACGTCTAAAATCAACATTCAAGCTGAATGGAGCTCGCACCAAAGCAGCCTATCTACATCATTTACCCAGAATGCATAGCAACATATGTAAAATAGTGACATCAGTGTGTCAATAATTTTGGAGAAATTATAAAAACTAAACCGCCTACAGTAATTTTCTCTTGTTTTTACAGCTGAAGTGATTGTTTATCTCATAACGTCTGTTGTCCAACTAATTGACGCTCACTATAAAACCTGCAGTGTGAACACAGCTTTATAAAGTTTGTCGTTGGCTTTTCTGCCTTCTGAAATAAAACTGTGCTGATCCATCCTACTTTTGGTTCTGTAAATTTCTCTCAATCACCCCTGCATGCATCTCACACAAACAAACAAACAAACCAACCACACACACACTTTCTATACTCTTTCTTCTAATTAGACTGACCTACAATGGCACAATATCTCTGTGAGTCGGGGAAAAAAAAAGGCAACACACGTGAACAAAACAAATGAGAGTGCCATTTAATTGCACCTAATTATCATTTTGATAAATGGAAGAATATCAAAGCGGGAAAACAAATGACTCCCCCTGCCCCAACCCCGCACCTTCCTCCCAGAAGAAGGAACACAGAAATATAGCCGTTATCATACATCATCAGAAACCAAACAGAAAGGAAAGAAACAGAAGAATGGGATGAGGAAGGAGAGATAAAAACAAAAAAGGTGTAATTAATCACACATGCACACAAAAAATACCTGAAAAAAAAAAGTGGCTGAAAAGATGGCGAGGCAAGACGTGAGAGGAAATAGAGGACCTAATTGACATCGTCCTGGGAGGAAACATCACTGACGGGACCGGAGCACTACATTATGCTAAAGGTTATCGTCGTCGTAAAGCAGCGTCAACACAACATCTAATTGGACCCCTCTGCTGGGCCCGCTGCTATCACTCAGAACCGCGGTAAGTCTGAGTTAATACGAGTGTGTGTGTGATAAATCATGATGGAGGAGCAGAGTTTAGACCCTGACTCTCTACCAGTAAAAAACAAAGCAGATTTAGTCTCCCCTGTTCCTTACATCACTCCTAAAACATTTGTTCTATTTAACGTGAGCTTCTGTGGAAATAATGGGACTAACCTGTTTAAATAAAGGTTGAATTAATAATATCTTACCTGTTGTAGATGGTCGTTTTAATATGATGGAGTATTAGCACTAAGAAAAAAAATTACATTACGAGGAAAAAAAGTCATAAAATTACGAGAAAAAAGTCGTACAACAATAAAGTCATAATATTACATCAATAAAAGTCATACGGGAATAAAATTAAAATATTACCAGAATAAAGTCGTAATATTATCAGAACTCCGACATGAAAAAGCAGTCTTACAACTGCAGTAAAATGATGAATGCTGAGCATCTTGTTAAGTTATACTTTGGTTTTACAAATAAGGAAATACTTAATCTGTGAGCACATCAGCATCAGATTAATCAGTATCAGGACTTTGAAACGATTGTGCAATCAACTATGTCTGTTTCAAAGAAAGAACCACACGGATTTGAAAGATATTGCTTCTTTTGTGGAAGAGGAGCTTCCTGGCAGTGGTGTACTGCAAGGTCAAGGCCAGATGTTTTACATCTGCAAGGTTTTGTTGTTTCTCAGCAGACAATGAGGATGGTCGTCAAGACTTTGGATCCAGTGGGAGTTGAACTTCAGCGAGCACAGCGTCTCTGATGTTGGCAGTACAAGAGCAGGGGGCCCAACGCACTGTGGCATATGGATATTATGAGTTTATTCTCGTAATATTGTGACTTTATTCTAGTATTATTTTAACTTTATTATTGTAATGCCATGACTTTGTCGTATGACTATTCTCATAATACTACGACTTTATTTTTGTAATATTTCAACTTTATTCTCATAATACTACAACTTTATTCTCATAATATTATGACTTTATTGTCGTAAACTTTATTCTTGTAATATTTTGACTTTATTCTCATAAAACTAAGACTTTATTCTCGTAATATTTCGACTTTATTCTCATAATATTACAACTTTATTCTCATAATATTATGACTTTATTGTCGTAAACTTTATTCTCGTAATACTACAACTTTATTTTCATAACACTACGACTTTATTCTCGTAATATTTTGACTAATTCCTGTAATAATAGATCTTTATTGTCATATAACTTTATTTTCGTAATACCATGACTTTGTCGTATGACTATTCTCATAATACTACAAATTTATTTTCGTAATATTTTGACTTTATTCTCATAATACTACGACTTTATTCTCGTAATATTGTGACTTTATTCTCATAATACTACAACTTTATTCTCATAATATTGACTTTAATGTTGTAAACTTTATTCTTGTAATACTACAACTTTATTTTCATAATACTAGGACTTTGTTCTCGTAATATTTCGACCAATTCCTGTAATAATATATCTTTATTGTCGTAATATTTAGACTTTATTCTCATAATACTAAGACTTTATTCTCGTAATACTACAAC